GTAATTATCATTACAGAGAATGAACAAAGTCACTTTAGAGTTATGAGATGAAGTAGGGTGCCGAAAAGTGATTAGTGAAGGAAAAAGCCTGGGAAGGGTAACTTGCGTACATCAGGCTATGTTGCTAGGCAACCCAATAATTTTAATGGGATAATCCGCCCATGCAACGGAAGTTTTTTTATCCCTTTCAGTTTCATTTAGAATGCTCTAATATCTATGCTAGAGTGGGGCTCACTCAGGCTCGTCCCAATAAGTTTTTGTAACTTTTTTACAACTCTCATCTTATCTAAACCTACCTTTACATTATAACCATTTTTTATTGCAGGCTAAAGAAAGTGCATACAAGCATGACAAGACTATATAGTACTGCAGCCTGTAAGATTAATGATTCATAATTATGCACATTATATATATATTTTGAGCAGGGACAGGAAGAAGTAAAAGAATGCTAATTTCAAGCAATATAAAGTGAAAATAATTAGCTTTTTTTTGTTACTTGATTACAACTCATAAAAATCAATCATTTGTATTTTGTATTTTATTACAAAGTTTATTATAAGTTGATATCAAAAAGTATCATTTGTTTCAATTTAGTGTTAGATGCATGTGGTGAGGGTACTACAAAAAGTCATCATCCTTATTAATATCTTCCTTAGTTCAGGCCTGAAGTATGCTTGTATCAGTGAAATTGTATTAAGAAGATACAGTACCAATTCTGTAGCATAAACTGGACTAGGAACATTATCATATCCAACAATGAATCCTATTATACTGGCAGCAATGTATGGAAACAGTGATACCAAGTGTGCTATAAATAATGATCCAAATATCCCAATGAGATTACACACTTAGTGATTGTAAGCACTGTCACCGTGTCACGCACCCTCTCCTGCTCATTGTTGAATGGATAAGAGCTTTTATTAGACTCCCTCCTTCTTTGTAAGAATTGTCTAGTGTGGACAAACGTCCATACAGAAGTGAAATACTATGCATCTGCATTTGGCTGAATAGTTATACAGGAAGATTTTGCAATTTGATTTTTTGCATTCATTTTTGCCCACGCTATTTTAAAGGCGGTGCAAATGAGGGAAATAACTAGCCCTGCCCAGTCTACATTTGAAGCTCGAAGTACGCCTTTAATGGCTCAACCAGTTTTGCAACCTATTTTTAGTGGAAGGACTTTAAGTAAGTGTGGAATTACAATAATAATAATAATTTTACTGTAATATGATTGCTTTAGACATTATTGATCTTAATGAAGTGATTGCATTACTTCAGAAGCATCACTACAGCAAGATATCATATCATCAACTTGGTCTACGTCTTAAATTGTCTCACAATACACTAGAGAAAATAAAGAAAGACCATGTAGAAGTTGATTGTTGTTTCACAGAGTGTTTGGCTAGCTGGTTGCGTAAAGCTGATGGTGTGGAGACTCCAACAATAGATACACTGATAGCTGCTCTTAGAGAAATAGGAGAGAATGCTGTAGCTGATGGTATTAATGGAGAAAGACAAAGTGAGATGTTTTACTTTAAATATTCACTAGTTTATTGATTGCTTTTCTTTTACTTAGATATATGTATTGCTGTGTCAAACAGTAAATTTTCAGATAGACCACCATTAGCCACTCCCCAAATGTTGCCTACCAGTGAAAGTGAGCCAGTAGCATTGTACTCTAATTCTGTTATAGATGATGCATGTCTGAGAGGAGATGCAATTTTTGCTTGCTTACTCTAATAAATTACGAACTGAACTATATACCGTGTTGCCTGATTACATGCCCAGTTCAATAAACGTACTCCCTTAAGTATTCTGACTATACATGCGCACATTTAGTACCCAGTTTAAGTAGCCAAGTTGTTTAGATTATTCCGAATAACACAAATATCACAAGGTCATAGGTTTGAATTTTTGTTTTGGCAGTTTTATTTCTTTTATACAATTTTTAATAAACATCCAGGCTTCTAATCAAGCAAATGCG